CCTGCGATTGGCTACGGGGGTTCGAGACTGCGTTCACCTCTGATGTTGCCAGCGCCAGCTGCGACTGGCTACGGGGGAGCTCCTGCTGGAAGTTCGAGATTGCTTTCCCTCTGATGTTGGCTGGGTGCAAGTTCGAGATTGTTCTTACCTCTGGCGTTGGCTGGGTGCAGGCCCAACCGACCCACCTGCGACTGGGTACGGGGGAGCTCCGACTTGAAGTTCGAGATTGCTTTCGCCTCTGATCTTGGCTGGGCGCAGGCCCAACCGACCCAGTGCCACCTGCGATTGGCTACGGGGGAGCTCCGACTTGAAGTTCGAGATTGCTTTCACCTCTTCTGATGTTGGCTGGGTGCGCAACAGTCGCCAGGCTTCTGACGGTAGCCACGCGGCCACGTCAAGCAGACGCTCACACGAGTAGCCGCGCCGACTGACACTCTGTCTTCGCGGAAGAAGAAGCGTTTTCGGAAGTTGTGGGGCGCCGTTTTCGGGGCGCGTGCCGGAAGCTTTTCAGGCATGAGCTTGTCGTGACATTCGTTAGCTGTGCCCGACATCTGTGATCGCTGGGACAGCTGCTTCCTAACAGTTGGCAGCTGTGGTCCGGAACGACCGCGTTTGTTTTCGACGCTCTAAATTCTCTGAAAAGACGAAAGAGACTGAGGACCCAAAGAATAAGTTCCCGAATGACCGCGCCTGTTTTGGAGGCCCCTCAAGCCCTCAAAGCCTATGCAAGGACTCGAGAGCCTGAAAGGTCCAAATGTTTCGTTCTGGAGTGACCGCGTTTTGAAGGCCCCCGAAGCTCTGGAAAGACTCGAGAGACTGAAGATCGTTGCGCAGAATAAGTGCCCGAATGACCGCGCCTAATTCGGGGGGAGCTGTCAGAGCACTTCGGTAGAGGCAAGGGGGGGAGGTGGGGGTCGTCGCCAGAGGCAGGTATAGTCTTGAACAGTCTGCGTACAGGCATCCACAACGAGCCGACCCCGCCACGCATTGTGGGCGGGAGGGAGGGTTTAGGGTTTAGGGGGTAGGGTTTAGGGTTTAGGGTTTAGGGTTTAGGGTTTAGGGTTTAGGGTTTAGGGTTTAGGGTTTAGGGTTTAGGGTTTAGGGTTTAGGGTTTAGGGTTTAGGGTTTAGGGTTTAGGGTTTAGGGGTTAGGGTTTAGGGGGTAGGGTTTAGGGTAGGGTGTAGGGTTTAGGGTTTAGGGTTTCAGGGTTTAGGGTCTACAGGGTTCAGGGTTGAGGGTTTAAGTCTTAGGGCTGATTCGGAAACTTGCAAATGGCTGCTTCGGCAACCGGGCAAAGCAGTTTCTGACACGGGCTGGCCACCTGCACGCGACTGCCCCCACCGCGTTTCTGAAAAGCAGTTTCTGACATGGGCTGGCCGCCTGCACGCACTCCCCCCCACCGCCCCACCCCCGCACCCCCCCCCCCCACCCCCACCCCAGCGCGTTTCTGAAAAGCAGGTTCTGACATGGGCTGGCCACCTGCACGCGACTGCCCCCCGCCCCACCCCCCACCCCCCACCGCGTTTCTGAAAAGCAGTTTCTGTGGCCACTTGCACGTGACTGCTCCCCCACCCCCCCTACCGCGTTTCTGATCCGCAGTTTCTGACTCGCAGTTTCTGATTCGCGTGGGTTTCTGACGCGCAGTTTCTGACTCGCAGTTTCTCATTCGCGTGGGTTTCTGATGCGCAGGTTTCTGACGCGCAGTTTCTGATTCGCGCTGGTTTCTGATGCGCAGTTTCTGATTCGCGCTGGTTTCTGACGCGCAGTTTCTGATTCGCGCTGGTTTCTGATGCGCAGTTGCTGATGCGCGCCAGTTTCTGATGCGGAGTTTCTGATGCGTGGCCGGTTTCTGATGCGCAGTTTCTGATTCGCGGGCCGGTTTCTGATTTTCTTGTTGTTCCTGTCCTGAAACCCTGCCTTGGACCAGCGTGGGCTCTCTCTCTCTCTCTCTTCCCTCCTTCCTTCCTTCTTTCCTTCCTTGCTTCCTCCTTCCTTCCTTCCTTCCAGCGCCCAGGCCCCCCTCCCCCAGGTGAAGGGGGCCGCCTGAAGGCGACTCTCTCTTCTTCTTCTTCCTCTTCTTCTTCTTCTGCAGGGCATGGGGGGCCCAGGGGACCCCTCGCGCCTAGGCGCGCCCATCGCACGTCCATCGTGAAACGGTAAAGAAAGTCGGGGAAACATACATAACATCGTACAAAGGCTACAGGAGAGGATTCCCCCCCCATAGTAGTTGTTTCACCCGTGCCAACTAACCTCACAGTGATGTTTCCCTCTTTAGCAGCCTGGGGAAAAACATGCAGGTCCCTATCTCATGTGGCCCCGCCCCGAATTATGCCCCAGCTGCATAGTTTAGATTCCCCTTCCAGAGATCGATGGAAAGTGCTCACGGAGTTTGCCTGGAGTTACATATCAGTTCCCCTCCCCTCACCCATGCAAAGCTGGACACCAGCAAAGTATCTCTCTCTCTCTCTCTCTCCCACACGCGTGGCCCCCCCCCCGAAGAGGAGAGCCGCCCCAAGGGGCGCGCAGAGTCCACGGTCTGTTGGTGAAATTTGTAGACACGTCCCCCCCGGCGCCAACAGGATTAGTCCAAGTATCTTCTTCTTCTTCTTCTTCTTCTTCTTCTTCTTCTTCTTCTTCTTCTTCTTCTTCTTCTTCTGCAGGGCTTGGGGGAGAACCCCCGCGCACCAGGCGCGCCCGGAGGTGAGTCAGGTCTGGGTGAAGTGTGACGATGGGCTCCTGCAGTTGGGCCTTGCTGTGCTGTTCGGTTCCCCGGGCTCATTAGCCCGTGGGCGGCCCCCACGGTCCCATCGGTCCAAGTATCTCTCTCTCTCTCTCTCTCCCTCCCTCCTGCACGCATAGACACCCCCGAAGGGAAGGCTGCCCCAAGGGGCGCGCGACGTCCAAGGGTCAGTCTGAACTCTCTCTCTCTCTCTCTCTCTTTCTCTGTGTCTTTGTCTCTTCGTTAGTGCCAATGCCACATGCGATCTGGCACATGATTTTTTGTGCCCTGCACGTGTTACATGGCCCACCTTGAGGGTGGCAGAGGTCGTGTCCCTCTCTTTTTTCGCTAGCCTGAGCCCAGAGCCAAAAACTTCAAAGACATCTACACAAGTGACGGGATTTCATGTCGTGTGTGAAGCACAAAGGGAGCGCTCTTTCTTGGCTCCGCTGAGCGTGGAGCAGAGACGGCCCGCGCAGCAGGCGGTTCCAAGTACTTCACAACATCGTAGCCTCTGGATGGCCCCATGTCGAGCCATAGCAGCTGCAAGTTATGAGAAAACTTGAAGGAACTCTGCTGCGTCTCCGAGCATTTTCATACATCTATGGCATTATAAGCCAACGAAACACATTGCCCAAGCTCGTTGCAAGCACCGAAAGACCCTCAATCTGCCACTGGCATCAAGTGTAAACTTGGTAGACGCACACACACACACACACATTTACTTGTTCTCTTCTTTTTCTCAGTCTTCTTCTTCTGCTGGGCATGAGGAGACCCTGGGTTCCCCCCGCGCACCAAGGGGCGCCCGAGTGCGAGATCCAGGTGAAAACATGTTTGGGGATTGCCGTGTTGGTTTTCCCCGTCGGACGTAACACTAACGATTTCCTGCTTCCCCAGGGTTTACTTGGTGGGTTAGCAGGGCGGCCAAGCTTTGGGGTTTTTTCTCTGTCTCTCTCTCTTTCTCTCTTTCTCTTTCTCTCTCAGTCTCTCTCTGGGTCTCTTTCTTGGGCAGACACAATGCAGTTGCCGACTGCGTAGGGCGATCCAGGTCGAACTACGAGCTGCTTCTCAGCAAGCCGAGGGTCGCATCTCCAGAAGTGCCAAGGGGGTGCCTCCACGCCATCCCGACTCATCCCGACCCCGGCTCTTTCCGCTTCCCCATCGGTGGCAAGGTGGCGAGGAGGCGACGGCAAGTGTGACTCCAGTCCGGTGCATGTGAGCCGGACACAAACTGGAGTGGGTCCAGCCCGGACCAACGAACACCACTGGTCGGGCTCTCTCTCAATACTACGACCATAGAAGATCATACTGTAGTTGACTAACTTACTATATAAGCAGCAGCTAGGGATGGATTTAGGATTACGCAGGGATTAGTTGGCATATCGCGATGTAAGGCAGGCTCACCCCACGCGCATCTTTAAGGCGACATGTTGGGCCGGAGGGATCCTTCTGTTTGACACCCCCTGAGCTTTGCAGGCTTCCAGATCGCCCAAATCGGAGCTTTTGGTTCAGACAGGTCTTAGTTCTGCTCCTCGGCCTCCTCGGCCACCTCTGCGGCCTACTGCTTTTCTCGCTCCTCCCGCCCGGGCCTCACCTTTCGCTGGTTCGTTGGCAGAAGACCACCTGATCTCAAAAGCATGCGTGCGACAGATTGTGGCTTGCGAGAAGAACTCACGCTCAAAACCGGCACATTAACAGAGTCTGCTACGACGGAGCAAGAGATTGCCGTTAGCACCTCCCTCAAACGTAAGCCGAGCAGAGCCACCCTCTGCCACACGAAGTTTTGTGTCTTGTTGTTGTTTTGGTGGGGGGAGGGGGGTGGGGGCAGCTCAACACACACTTGGTGCATCTTGGTGCTATGCCTTTTAAATCAACACCGCAGATTGGAGTCCGTAAGTGGTTTGCATGCGAAATGGCGTGCGTTTCTAGGTCTGCAGACCTTTGGGCAACTGCAAGCAAGGTGTGGGAGAGGCGTGGGCGTATGCCAAAACGGACGCATCACAAGAGAATACAGACAGCAGCTAAAATCGTTTGCGAATACAGGTGGCAGCTGGCACTTTTGCGACACCTCTGAGCTGGTAACAGTACGGCCACCCCTGTAACTGCGCGCCTGCACCTGCGAGTTAGTGGTGGAGCAACGACATCATGAGCAATCTGTACAAGCTCATGCTTTGCAGTACATCCTACAGTTTCAGAAGGTGAAGAAGAAGAATATCGAAAAGGTGTGCCTTCCGCCATTCTCAGCCAATTTTTTTGGCAGTATATTTTGCTGTCGGCACTCTTAAGCCGCCACTTGACCATGATCAAGCACCGCCCAGCTGCAGACTGGCTCCAAGGCCAAGGTGGGATGCTGCACCACAGCCACGATACCGCTGTTGAAGCTCATCCTGAAGTTCTTCTTCGTTTGGAAGTCTTTGTAAAGCACTGGGGCCTGCGAGAGACTGGTGGGGAAGTGCGTCCATTTCACTGCGCAGCCCGCTGTTGGACTCGGGCCCCTGAAACCACCCCTCCAGCTCTTGGCTTCGTCAGTATTCGCATTCAACTTGCCCATGTCATCTAGACCGTGCCCTTTAGCAGCTAAGCCCTGTTCGTAATTTGTGCGCCACGCGCCGATGCTCCGATTTGGGCGGCCGCCTTCGAGATACGGGAACAGTATCTGCAGCCAACCCGTTGCGAAGCCATTCCACGAGCCGCTTGCGCCATACATGTTGCAAACGCTGTTCCAGAACACCAGGTCCGGCTGCCCTTTGGTAGCACTGCAGAATTGGTCGAGCAGTGGCAAGAGCTCATCGAGCCACGCCTCGAGCCCCGCAAATCGCTTTAGCAAAACCTCGGCCTTGCCACGAACTGAGAGCCAATCCTCCTCAGTGCCTGCCAACTCAATCCAAGGAATCCCGCACCCACAACACATGACGTACTCAAAGTAGCTCTGGACCGAATCCATGATGGCGATCTCAGAGCAAATCTTCGTGACTGAGTCGGTGGTGGAAAAATCGCTCCTCATGGTTGCTAAGAACTTCTCGCCGATGAAACTGCCGATCTGCTCCGTGAACTCGGGGAACACCGTGGTCCAGTCGTTCCTGGCCGAGCCCTTCACGAAGTCTGGACGTAACACCGCAAGTTGCTGCTTTCCCTCGAACTGAATCTCGAAAGATTTCCTGTGCGTCTCCGGGTCCTGTCTAACATGCGCCGCTAAGCCTTGCACAATGGTGAGCCAGATCACATCTGGGCTCAGGCGTAAGGGATAATGTTCATAGAACGCCATCCGCACAGCAGCTGCAAGCATGTTGTGCTGTGTAAAGTCACTCTGCACAACATTCAACCTGTGTGGTGCTGCAACTCCCTCGGGCCCATAACTGAAGAAGTGGACTGGTCCGCACGCCTCAATGCCGCACGTGGGGAGGCCGCTGCTGCCTTCCTTCCCTCCTTCCCTAAGCTCCCTGGACTTGTGTGGTCTTTTGTCCAAGCGCGCCTTCCCATCATTCCCATCCTCTTCTTTTCGCAGGACCTTCATCCACTCGGAACGGAGGCTCCCAGAAGGTGCCCCAAAGCCTGAGTCGCCGCAGTCACCTGTGTCGCCCGAATCCTGTGCCTTCTCTGGCAACCGGCGGCCTACAGTCACATCAGTACGGACAGTGAAGCGTACAGCGACCCCTTGTTCTGGACTCGTCTCTATCGCGTGCAGACCCGTCGCAGGCACCGGGTCTGACATTGGCACGGGCACTACCACTTCTGCGGAGGAGTGGTCCTTCGGTTTCTGACCAGCGCCATGGCACAGAGTTGTCAACAGGGTGAGCATCCTTTCCGAGTGCACACTACAACCACATGGCACTTCTTGAAAAGCGACTACAGCGACGAAAGCGCATCTCAGTACACCAGTAAAGCAAGCACCTCCTGTATCACCCTCTCTGGACTGTTTCTTCTTGTATAATCGGATGAGGACTCTGTGACTGTGCTTTCTGGACCCTTCTCTATGGACCTCTCATGGACCCTTCAGCCCCCTGCGAGCCTGTACCGCACCCGTACCTCCATCGACCGGCCTCGGACGGGCCCTGCATATGGAACCCCCTCCATCTGACCCTGCTCTCAGCTTTTAACTGTTGGGAAAGCCGCAGCATGGAGCTACAAAATGAACAATTCAATTCCACATGAGGTCTCAGCAGATGGGGTTTCTTGTCTCCGCTCCTCTGTGCTCTAGGCCCCATCTCTACTCTCCATTCCTGTTTATAAACAATGGTATAAAAACATACATCCTTCCCACTAGCAGGCAGAGACATGTCAAGCAGCCCAGGCACCAAATGCTGAGCTGTGAAGTTGGCACCGCCTTCTTTTTCATCGGAGAAGCAGAAGAAAGCAGGTACCGCAGGCCTCGTCTGGCTGTGCATTCCTTCGGCTATGTTCCGTCACTGCTACATGCTTGAGGACTTTGTGCTCAAACTCGGTTCAAATGTGAAGTCTGCTAGGCAGATGTCATGAGCGCTCCACCGACAAAGGTTCTACGAGTCTACGAGAGCCACAATGAGCCAGTTGTGAGTGGACAATCACCTTGCTCTGCAATCGCATCTTGTCCGCAAATCCCCAGCGCAAGAAAGCCATTTCGTTAAACCACCTCCGCCGGGCCCCATCCCCGACACTGTGGATATATGCTCATGCTCTTGCTGATCCGCCCATCCTGACTGGTAACGGGTTGTGGTGGGAAAGTTGTCCCCTTTTTGCGACCTGTGTGAACTGTTCTGTGGACTCAGTGGAGCACCGGGGGGTGGCGCCGGTTTTTGCCTTGATTGCGCAGGGAGACGCGAAACATCGCGGATCGCGCCAGGGCTAGCCCGGCTAGCCTTGTGATCGTTTACCGGTGCCGACCAACGTCTTAATGCATCAGTATCATTGCCTGCTCGTTCAAGCTGCATGATATCTGTCCAGTTCGTTCGTGTTGCAACTTGGGGTCTTACAAAATGGAAGAAAAGCCACTAAGTCACCCTGAAACCATCTTGTGCCGATAGTAGATGCGGTGGTATGCCCACAGCATGCAGCATTTCAGCTGCTAGATCCGCCATTGTAGTATGTACATACGTGAATTCCAGCATGACCAGCGCGCGATCGGTCGACCCTGTGTGCTTGGAGTTGCTGCGTGACATCGTCGCCCCAGTCATGCAAGCATGCTCGTGGCTCGCAATTGCAGAGCAGCAAACCACGGCCACGACCATCGGAAGACAAGCTTTGTAAATAGGGGAGTTGGTCGCGCTGTTGGGGACGAAAGCCGCCTGCCCTGCCAACCAAGATAAGTGTTTAGTACGGGCCATCAGAAAACAAAGGGCTAACTAGTACTAAAACGAAACAACGAGACGGAATGCAGAATTGCGATGAACTCCTCCCAGCTTTGCAGGGAATTCAGCCGCAGTCGGTCGCTGCCGAATGGGCACAATAACACTTTGAGGGCACCTTCTGAGAACTCTTTCGCTCCGCCCTCCATCCTCGGAGAGTGCACGCAGACTGCTGAAGACTTGCAGCCTGTCCCACCGACCTGAGCCCCGTACTGTCCCGGATAGAACCCAAAAAAAGGTTCCAAGGCCTTACGGAAAACTCGAAGACAGGCAACACACGCTCGAGTCTGAAGTGTCAAGATGGCAAAGCATGGCAAAGCTGGCAACAGACGGGGCATCGGGCATCATTTGCCACACAGGGGGCACCAAGCACATCGCTTCAGCATCCATTCGGAGATGCAGTCCTCTCTCAGACCCCGCGTGCATAAACTGGCATAAACCCCCCAAGCGCTGTCGCAGGCAGCCTTGTGGAAGATGTGTGAGCACGGCAGGGCCGCAAGCGAATCAGTCCTCACAGGCATCTCAGCTGATAAAGAACTGGCTTCGAATTCAAAGCTTCGCGCTTATGCTGCATGTGCAACCTCCTCGTGTGACTGGACAGAACACAGCTAAAAGCCTCAGCTGAGCCTCTTGCCGACTCCTACCTCTCCTGACTCCATGTTCCATGTGCCTATTTCCCTGCCACCACCTCCTCGTCAAGACATTGATGGTTGGATGCTATAACCACTTAGTCTTTCATCAAGAATGATTGGGTTTGTGTTAGTCCCGACCCTACAGGCGGTGCCGTGTTAGGACAAGTGATTCGGCCATTCTAGCGGATGGAGATGAGCCGCTCCAAGGGAAAAGTCCGCTTACAGCTTGCCTTCTCTATGCTCTCCGAGCCCCTGGGCCCGAATCTTCTCAGCACACTGTTTTCACTCACTCACTAGCTCCATATTTTGGCTTGGAAGTCACGTTAACTCACGCGCATGCTTCGGATATTGCCCTTCTGGGATATAGAAAGCTCCTTTTGGGCTAGTTGTTTTGGTCCCGCTGCTTCAGGGCGCTTGGCCTGAGCGCCCTGAGGGCGCATGAGGGCAGACAACGCGCCTGAAGACCTCTAAAACCGTAGTAGTAGGGATTGCCACCCGAAGCCAGGTGGGGACGCCACAAATTCGCACAAGCCCAAGCTGGACCCTCTCCCCACACCCCTGTTGCTCAACGGTGTCGACGCGCACCGCCAACCACAGGCAGCACTCGAACTTCTGCCCTCCCGGTGCCGCATGTAATTAGCGTGTTCTGCATCTGCACTATCGCTATCTTCACTGCATCTTCAAACCAGCGCCGACAGAAGAGGCATACCTGCACACAGATGAAAGAAAGGCGACGCATCATGAATCACACGGGCAGTGCGTGAGGATGTCAGGCCAAGCGCTCTTGCTAATATCCATGCCATGTCGGTGCCAGTCGCTGCCAGTTGCCATGCCTTTGTGGGTCAGTTCTTCAACAGTTGTCGATGTCGCGTAAACAAACACTCCCTACCACGAGGAAGTGGACACCGAGTCTGCTTCTGCTGCTGCGGTGTCGTTCCGAAGTGTGCTTGTCAGCTTGTCAGCACGTGTCGCATCGCCCGCATCGCACAGGACCGGCTGCCGGCCATGGACTAGGCTTCGCTTGAAAATGTCCGCGGTGCAGATGGAGACTGTGGAATTGTGCATCGCTCACGCTTCCAAGGCGCGATAAGAAGGCAACCAATGCAGCTTTTCCAAGAGCCATTGCACTGCATGGCTGCTGCATGGTGCCTTGGGCCTTGGGTACATGCACTCTGGCCAGTCCTCTCGAAAGGATGCAGACATACAGCGCATGTCTCGCCCAGCAACTCCTCACAGGAAGGGATGGTCAGCGACTGAGCGTTCTGCAGCTATCATCTGCAGAAGCCACACCTCTTTCATCACCAACGGCTGCAAGTGCTTGTGCAGACCTTGGGTTTGCCGGTCTTGGAGGGTCTTCCCAAAACCCCGGCGGAAAACAAACAATTGCATCTGAGCTTTCGGCTCGCCTCTTCGGCGGTCGGGCGGTCTAAGGCTTCATCCAGCTGCAACAGCCTCAGCAAAAAACTGCTCTAACAGGGGCTCCCCAAAAAACTGTGCCAATGAGGCCCTTGCATGTGAACTCTGTCTAGTGTCTAGATGCTCTTCCGTGTGCCCCGTGTTTTCTTCCTGTCCGTGTGCCCCGACATCTCGTAATCCTCCGGGGTGATGTCGCGGTCCAGCAGCTCCGAGACCTCGTTGCGGCCAAGCTCAGTCTTCAGGGGCAGTGTGACTCGTCAACACTAGCTGTGGGAGGACTTCTGTCGCGAGCTACGCAACTGATGAGTTAATGAGTCGAGCATTTTGAGTTGAAGGCAGTTTGATTCAGACTTGCAATCAGACTTGCATGTTTCGCCAGTCTGAAAGCACGAAGAGGTGAGAGCTTCTCCTTTCTTCGCAGTGCTGCGACAGCATGCATCATGATGAAGTGGCTCACTTTGTCCCAGTTTTGAAGACTGCAGGCTTCGTCATAAGCCTTGGCGGGTTCGGTCACACAATGTTGAAAGGCCAGCGCTAGGCCTGCAATGGAACGACCCTGGAAAGACTGCAAAACACTCCTAACGTCCAGCGGATCGTCGTGATCAATTAAGGAGTTCTGCCCTGCTCCCTCCCACAAGCAAAAAACAAACTGGCGACTGAGTGCTCAGAGTCTTGCGGCTGCCTTGCCGAGAAACCAAGACATGAACTCCTGCACCTGAATCTTGCCATCCCGGTTCGCGTCTGCTTCCTTGAACAATGCTTGAGCCTCGTTCCTTGGAACGGTTAGAAGCTCGAAAACATCCAGCATCTCGGCTTCTGAAAGGACACCATCGCCAGAAGTGTCCTGGGTGGTCAAGGCATATTAGTCGAGCTATCCATTCAATTCAATGCTTCTCTTTTGAAGTCGGCGCCCGCTCTTCCGGGGCTCTTCCAGACATCTTGCCAAGCCCACTTCAACATCCGAAGTCAGTTCCTTTGAGGAGCTCAATTGCTTCAAACCCCCGGAGAGGTCTCTGATTCAGCTTCCTTCGGACAACTGAGTTCAACTGAGTTCTCACAATACAGGGAGTTCAGAAATTGCGACGCTGCAGCCCTCCCAACCTCCCCAACTGCTTGCTGCCCGGGGGGTTCAGAAGCAGACTTACTGTGTTATACTTGGTTTACAAGTCTTTACAATGAGAAACAAAGTCTAATGCAGACAGCGCCTAGGATCATACTTTTTGAAGAGATCTTGAACTAGCTTTGTATGCCCCATCTGCTCCGCACGCTCACTCTGTTTCTCCGTCACATTGAAAGTGATCGTTGGCTTGAAGGTGACGGTCACTTCACTGCCGGCAACGTTGGCTTCATGCGCGGGATTCCAGCGATAGTCCGACACTCCATTCTTGGGAGGGTATTGAAACTTTGCGCCAAATGAAGTTACACGCTCATCATCGAACTCATAGGCCTCGGACCCACCAGCGAAGACAAGTCGGTCCTTGTAGTCGTCGTTGAAGAACAAGCGGAACCAAATATCCACAGAGCATTGGTTCACGAATGTCAGCTTCTGCTTTGTTTCATCCGCGCCAGCCGTCCCAACGCTAACACTTGATGTCAACGAAGGGGTGAGCTCAACAATTGCAGGGTTTGTTTGGAAGCCATGGGTGTTTGGTGGAGTCTGAGACAAGTACCAGGCTGTGATGTGCGAGAACTTTGAATCTGCACTGCAAGAAGTCTCGTCATCGGGCTTCATCACGTGCTTCTTGGGTGCTTCTGCGCTGCCTGATGAGAACACACTGACGCAGCACTCATCGCCGGTGGCATTCCGTACCCGTACCGCACACTTCGAGGCTTTTTCGTCGGAGCAAGAGGTGTTCTCCGTCACATTGAAGGCGATCGTTGGCTTGAAGGTGACGGTCACTTCACTGCCGGCAACGTTGGCTTCATGCGCGGGATTCCAGCGATAGTCCGACACTCCATTCTTGGGAGGGTATTGAAACTTTGCGCCAAATGAAGTTACACGCTCATCATCGAACTCATAGGCCTCGGACCCACCAGCGAAGACAAGTCGGTCCTTGTAGTCGTCGTTGAAGAACAAGCGGAACCAAATATCCACAGAGCATTGGTTCACGAATGTCAGCTTCTGCTTTGTTTCATCCGCGCCAGCCGTCCCAACGCTAACACTTGATGTCAACGAAGGGGTGAGCTCAACAATTGCAGGGTTTGTTTGGAAGCCATGGGTGTTTGGTGGAGTCTGAGACAAGTACCAGGCTGTGATGTGCGAGAACTTTGAATCTGCACTGCAAGAAGTCTCGTCATCGGGCTTCATCACGTGCTTCTTGGGTGCTTCTGCGCTGCCTGATGAGAACACACTGACGCAGCACTCATCGCCGGTGGCATTCCGTACCACGCAGCTGCTCACAGGTCCGAGCATTGCGAACACAACAAGCAAAGTACTCAGATAGAGATCAGCTGTGACCAGCTGATGGTTCCCCCAGAAAGTGTTCCGAGTTCCGAGAGCTACTGACATGCGCATATGCTGCATGCCATGTCTGCTATGTAAACGAATGTGTGATGGGCGGGACTTCGCCTTCAACGCTCCGAAAAAGTCGCGGGGTGGTGCTGACATTGAGGGCGCTGTAGCGCTTTTGCTTTCGTGACACCCCAACACTACCTCCCTCCCCCAACCCTATGTCAACCGTCCGTGCTGTGCAACCTGGGAACACAAAGTGCTGTATCTGATCGTTCATGTCGTGGCCTGCGCACTACATTGGGAGTCAGGGGCTTATGATCTCCACAATTCCACAAAATGCCTCTTGAGGAGACCAAGTTGACAAAAGTCTGTATATGTCTGAATCCATTAACAGGGTTAATTAGCAACCCTCGCATTTCGCTTTCCATCTCCGACTTGTCTTTGAGATTCGAACTCATGCCTCCCTCAACAGTGACCCAGCAGTACTGTACTTACTGTAGTATCTGGGCCAAAACAACCAGGCTTGACTGCGTACACTTACATGCTTGATGCCGTGAGCCCTCACTTGACTTGACGCTCCCACTGACTTGGTCCAAAGCTTGCGATGGCATCAGCCCACAGGGAAGCCTCTGCCTGAAGCAAGCAACAGCTGCAGTAACAACAGCCCGACCAAGGCAAATCACCATCACCAAATCACACGATGCAGGAGTGAAGCACAATGCAACTATCCAGATTAGATCCATTGCAGCCCGTTGCGAGTGCAACTGTGCACCCTATCTGACTGAGTGTTCATTGAGCATCCCACTCCTGCCAGCTTTGCCTTTCAGACATGGAAAAGACACATTATTGAACTTGCTGCCACCATTGGGCTAGCTCTGGAGATACCGGTTAAGGCAGCATAATCCGACGAGAGGCCCCGCAGACTCACCAGCCATCCGCGCCAAGCGAACCTTGATTCATGATTCACATTTTCGCAGAATCTGGCAACATGAGCCTTCTGCCTATACTTCGACACGTTCCATGACGTATCCGCATCCGAGGCACTCGTGGTGGCTCACCTCCAAAGGTCGGCAAAAGGTCGGCAAAAGGTCGGCAAAAGGGGTTGGCAAGAAAGCGTTGGGCAAGAGGCACAGGGTCAAATAGAAAAAATGACAAACGCATCAAAATCAACACTGCCACTCTGGGATCACTGCTTGCTACGGCGTCCGTTCGTCTGGGTGTTGGCCTGCAGCTAGCTGAGCATCTTGCGATATCGGAGGCAGTGAAGCTCCCATTCAGAACCTGATTTGAAGATCGAGACGCGCGCCTAAAGGCACCGCCTCAAGCATGCACTCTCACTTGATGGGCGATTTCTCAGAAAGAGCCCTTGAGAAATCACAAAAATGAGCCAGGCACCCGTGGTTGTGCAAGGCCTGCCCCGGGTATGACACACTCAGGCACAGCCAGCCCACAGCAAGTAACTGCTCCATCAAGCAGGGTTCGAAGGCCGTTGAGTAACCTGTACGGTACATGTCAGGGTGCAGCCTGCGAAGTCCTCGCGGAAGCAAGCAACCGCCACAGCCTCATTCTCGCATTCTTGCCACATCGAACATGTCCAAAAGAACATTCTTACAAACACCCTCCAGCGGAATGTGCCAGGGCACGAGAGCACCAAGAGCTCCATGAACACCATGAGCACCATGCCCAACACCTGAGTCTCATGATCTGAGGGATCCGATACACCTAGACTCCTAGACAGAGCAGTCGTGAGCCGTGGGCTGCGATGTAGCCCCTTTGCAAGGCCTCAATGGCACCACTGCTAGAAGGACAGATGTGATAACACAATCACAATATTGGAGGATGTGACACTGTTTATGTTTTCTTGTTTTTGGTGCGTTTGACTCCACATGCTTTAGTGGCCGGAGACCTGGTGCGCGGTGATGCCTGGACCGAGCTGTCGCCTGAACCCTGCCAAACCACAGCAGAGGGCTCTTTGCTAACGACCAAAGCTTTCTGCCGAACCGCACGCAGCTCAGATCCTTTGGGCATTTGTCCATCAGCGAAACGGCTTGTAGCAGAAGCTGCAAACCGTCTCAAGACCTGATAAAGCGCTTCTTGTGAGGAATACGCCTCGACCCCTTGCCAGCTTTCACAAGGAAGATCGGTGCGGCGGCGTGCGCGAACTGTGCCGGGCACGGCGCGTAGCGCATTTTTACTGCTGTTCTCGTGGTCCTGCAATGGACCATTCTTCTACTGATTCTACTGCCTGCTCACATATGCGACTCTGTCTGACAGACTCGTGGCTTGTGACATGCTTGTTGCTAATTTTAACGCTACGCGACCCGCCTCGGCCCGGCCCAGCGCATCCGCGTGAGCATGGTGATTCCGCAGCGCCCAAGTCGCTGGACCCCAAGCAATATTGGGTTTAGGGTTTAGGGTTCCGGGTTTATGGTTTATGGTTTGGGGTTTAGGGTTGAGGGTTAGTTTAGGATTGAGGGCTTAGGGGGGTTCACGCTTTGGGGTTTAGGGTTTTTTTGGGTTTAGGGTTCAAGAGACGGTTCGGCTTGGATTGATCGTAGGGTTGAGCCAGGCCCCTCAGGGGGGGTAGGGGGGGTGGGGAGGGAGGGGGGGTAGGGAGGGGTGCTTGTTGAAGGTTTGAGGGTTGAGTGCTTCGGGCTTAAGGTTTAGGTTTAGTGCTGAAGCCATAGCCCTTAAGAGCCGGTTGCCCCGGTGCGTTGTCCCCCTACCCTGCATCCCACCTTGTGGATGCAGGGCGGGCGGCAGGTGGGCAGAACAAGTTCATGCGACCTTATGTATGCTTGAATCACCTTCTTCAGGTTATGACGCCCAATGGCCTAAGCACGAACACGCGTGTGAAAAAGCTATGCGCTGCAAAGACGCGCTTCCGCTTTACCATGCCAGAACATGCTTTACTGCTTGGAGGACTTCGTCAGACCAGCACGCCACCGCAATTGCAATGTTGCTGCGATGGGCCTGGAGGATGGAGGGGGGCTGCGATGGCGACGGCACCGTTTTCCAGGAGACACGGGACATTGGTTGTAAGGGAAGGCTGCCCTGGCGGAGGAAGGTGAGGTAGCCGAAAGGCAGAAATCGTCTTCAGGCGTGTAAGCGTTCCTTGGCGCAGTGTAGTGTACGGGCGCGCTCTCGTTTGAGTGATGCCAGCTGCTTGGGTTAACGCCCGGGTGGACGGCGGATCTTGGACAGAGTTTGCGTAGCCGGCCCACTGCCGGGGACAGGGGGGAGCAGTGCCAGAGCGCAATGCCATGCTACAGCATGTGTTGGTACAGATGCTCGCCTCCCGGAAGGGATGGACAGCTTGTGAAGAGCGCCCAGCCTCCTGGCGGATGGCAGGCCGAGGGGGGTGCTGAAGCCAAGCTGTAGCCCGGTGCGTTGTCCCCCTACCCTGCATCCCACCTTGTGGATGTCAGGGCGGGCGGCAGGTGGGCAGAACAAGTTCATGCGACCTTATGTATGCTTGAATCACCTTCTTCATTTAGGGTTTAGGTTCAAGCTTAGACTCTTCGGCTCGTGGAATGCATGTTGGGCCGTGCTCACACCAGTTGAGCCCCGAAAACCCGCTCACCATTTTTTCTGTGGAGAGGCAGGGGGGAGGGGGGGAGGGGGGGGGGGGGGGGTAGGGGGCAGAGGGGGGGCGGGGGCAGAGGGGGGGCGGGGGGAGGGCGGGAGGTGGGGAGGGGGGTAGGGGGGGGTGGGGTGGGCTGGGAGGGGCTTCAATTGCCTCTGGTCCTGGCGACCGTCCGGTTTCCTAGGGTACCCCCGGCCCGAGACCTCGGCGGACTTCCCCAACAAGTCCAGCAAGTGCCCGGCTGAACATGGCCATGACGTGGTGCCATCGTCAAAAAGAACAAGAGAGTTTCTGAGTTTCACAAGCAGTTGCGAGATGGCTCCATCAGGCTCCATCCCCATAGCTCTTCTCAAACTCTTCTCTCGCCCTAAGTGAAATTGTTGTAAGTGGGCAGCTCATCTACAGTGCCTCTAGGACTTGCGTGTGTGGCATGCTGGTGGCATGCTGGTAGCATGCTGGTAGCAGGCGCGGTCTGCCCATTGACGAGCCTTCTCAGCACGAGTGCAGCCCTGGTGGCCCTGTGCGGCCCTGTGCGGCTCCAGCGCCATGACATGGTAACCACTGGCGTATTGTTCAAAGTAAGGCCGCGGCGCATCAGGTGGGAACTTGTCCATGGTCGGTATTAGTTTCGCAGTCTGATGTGCTTTTTTTGGCAGGATGCAACGTGCTCGCAGGTGTAAGCTTGTCAACATCATGGTGTCATGGGCTGATGCTGGTTGACCCACAATGACTTGCAATTCGACATGTTCTGCCATGTTCTGCCATGATGCCTGGAACAAGGCAAAGGCCCCGGGCACAGCGGCAAAATTGTACGGCTGGAGATGGGGTCATGCTCAATAGAGGAAGTGTGAGGGTTGAAGGCTCATGACAAGACGCCAGCGACATGCCTACTTCGTGCCCTTAAGTGCTGGCTAGAGATCAAAAACACATTCGGAGGGATGCCCCCCCAATGCACCCTGTCGAACCCGGGTACAAAGTCGTGCAGAGAGTGTGAGGTGACCGCTTCTGCAGTCCGAGGAAGGCTGCTCCCATGATCATTTATCCATGTGTTTTTCATGTGTTTTTGTTGTCTTGCAGTTTTTCCTCCACACCTCAAAGGATGACTTCGCTCCCATTCCAATCGACGGTGGCTTCCTCGGAACAACACCGACTCAGTCTCAGAGTTGCAGAGTCGCAGTACTTTGCAGTGCTTCTCAATAAGTCTCATAAACGGCCCAGTCCTTCCACTTCGTTCGGATGCACCGATCGATCATGGATTCACTGTCCTGCAGGCTGAGGTCAGGTGAGTCAGGGGTCAGTTTCGCCTGAGAACGTAAAAACCGGAGGGCAGATTCCGGAAGAGATCCTCGAAGCCTGTGGACAGGTGTGGCGGCAACTGCTTGGGGATGACCTCTCATGATCTCATGTTATCTCATGTCATCTCATGTCATCTCATGTCATCTCATGTCATCTCATGTCATCTCATGTCATGTTGGAAGATGAGCTACTGGAGCCACACTCGCGCAGGCTTGCAAGCTTCATTGGGATAAAAAATCGAAGCCAAGCCCAGGAACAGTCAGGCGGATTCGCTCCGACTGGCGACCGAGTTGGTCAAAGTAGAAGAGATCCAGCGCCTGAATTTCGAAACACAAGCTGCAGCCATGTTCCCGCCGCCCTAGTTGTGCAACTGGCGATCTGGGACCGAAGAGCGTGGCAGAGAGAGGCATCATGAATGTTGCAACGAGGCCAAATACCCAGCGGCCTTGTCGCTGTCTTGAGGGTTAACCATGCCGTCCGCGGAGAAGAGCACGGTGTAGTGCGACTCGCCAAACGAAAAGCATCCACTCGCAAATCAAATGGCAACTTTCTCTCCGGGGCTCCTCGGCACAGACGACCCAGATGGGGCTGGTCGGCCCTTTGTACCTCGAGCCCACCTTCGCTGTCGGTACATCCAAACAACCTTGTGCCGCGTTTAGTGCCGCGTTTGCAACCGCTGGGGGCCTCAATGCAAGCATAGGCCTCAAAAAGGGACAGGAAGCCGATGCTGGGTCGGCGCCTGGGCGCCATACTCCCCAACATCACCCCGAACCCCAAAACGGGACCTAGCTGGCACTGATGTTGTATGTTTTACGTACAAGGCAGATATTCACGTGCCACATGGCGATGCGGAGGCATGGTTCCGAAGCCACGGATGAAGCCCACAAGATGCAGTTCCGCAAGACATTCTTCAGAGTCCGCGGACTGGCATTTACCACGGTCGATTACTAGGCTGCTTTCTCCAAGGCCTGTCCGGACACCTACAAGAAACCCCCGTTCTGCAAGCCTGACCCCAGCAAAGTCGCGGCACCACATACGAGACGCACTTGTATCTCAGACGTACTCAGACATACCCAGATGTCAGATGCTTAGATGCACCCTTCGCTGAGCTGGGTATCCAGCGGTGCACCCTGCAGCACCATCCAGCCGTCCTGCGCTGAATAGGCCGTGCAAAAACTGCACATAGTCATTGTTTAGACATGTTTGGACTAATGCAGACAAGACCCCGTCCCGTAATTCACAGGCTAGAGTCGGCTAGAGGCCAGGCTTTCAAACCAAGGCTAATCAGGCTTACAAGACTAAGTCCCTGTCCGCAATCCACGGCCAATAGAACGCCCCTCTGGTGAAATCGTGGTTTCAAATTCCTAAGCCCACCGCAGACCCGAATAGGTTTGGTCTGAAGGATTTCCCTCAGCCTTTCGCGATGGTTTTGGCAACAAGTAGTACGAAGCATGACTTCAGGCCTAATCATGATTCTGTTCAGTGGTGGTAACGTAGTGATTAGTGTGGTGATGGTAAGGCTGGTGTGCTTGGGCGAACGTTTTTTTCTGAAGAACCCTTCTTCGCTGAAGCTTTCCGGCAAAAGCCAGAATTTGTCTAGGGTGTCTAGATCCCCCGTGAATCGAGCTGCCCACGACGTGATGTTTATGAAGCGAGGTGATGAGTTGAGTGTCACCACAGTACCATCTCGGCTGCATCGCTTCTGTGCGCTGTCTATTAAATTCTCTCTGATTTCTTAGGCTGGGGTGGGTTTCGCCGCGGCTAGCGCGATGCACCCCTCTGCGGGGATCGTGCGTGCCGGAACGCTCCCGCTGTGCCTTCTTGCGGATTCTTGAGTGGCCTGCCGCACCCTGTGCGGGGATCGTGCGTGTCGGAGCGCTCCCGCTGTGCGTTTTCGCAAATTTTGGAACTGAACCGTGCACCCTCTGCGGGGATCGTGCGCGTCGGAGCGCTCCCGCTTTGAGTTTTCGCACATTTTGGAACTGAACCGCGCACCCTCTTCGGGGATCGTGCGTGCCCAGCTTCCGTGGCTGGAAAGTCGACTTTTGTAGTACAAATGTAATATGCCGGGGACGCCCGCTGGAATTTTGTAGTACAAACGCAGTACGCCGAGGTCACCCGGAGGCTCCAAAACCTTCACGAGTACCATGGTCCCCGAATTCGCTGGTACCAAAACCTTCGCAAATAACATGGTCCCCGAATTCCCTGATTCCAAAACCTTCCCAAATACCATGGTCCCCGAATTCGCTGGTACCAAAACCTTCGCAAATAACATGGTCCCCGAATTCCCTGGTTCCGAAACCTTCACAAATACCATGGTCCCCGAATTCGCTGTTTCCAAAACCTTTGCAAATACCATGGTCCCCGAATTCCCTGGTTGCAAAACCTTCACAAATACCATGGTCCCCGAATTCGCTGTTTCCAAAACCTTCGCAAATACCATGGTCCCCGAATTCGCTGCTTCCAAAACCATCGCAAATACCATGGTCCTCGAATTCGCTGTTTCCAAAACCATCGCAAATAGCATGGTCCCCGAATTCGTTGGTTCCAAAACCATCGCAAATACTATGGTCCCCGAATTCGCTGGCTCCAAAACCATCGCAGATACCATGGTCACCGATTTGGCAAATCACATGGTGCTCCAATGCCGGGCGATCGAAAACATCGCAAATTTCACGGTTATTTAATTCCCGGCGTGCGAAAGCATCGCAAAAAACATGCCTGAAAATGCCCAAGTATACCACCACACCATCACCACCACATTACCATCACCCCACTACCATCACCTCAGCTACACCGCTTCTTTACCCTATTGAATTCCATCTTCTTTCCGTTTCGCGCTCTTTCTGCCGTCGATGCCGCATTGAGACTACACTACCGATCTACTTCTAGCCTACTACACCACACCACGGCACCACGATCACCGCACTGACAACACAACCAACTATACGTGTCAGTTGAAATCTTCGCACGGACTGCTTTCGGGATAATCGGTGTCTAGTTTCGTAGCGATCGAAATGATTGTAGTGAAGCACGCAGCTGTTGGTGTCTGTTGGTCATGTCATAGCTGTGGTTGGCTGTGCTTGGCTGTGCTTGGCCGTGGTGTCCTTGACACTGCCAAGCCGCTTGGTGCCATCGAAGACATTGCTGTACGCACGGCCGAACATCATCAAGTTCACCAGCTCCTGCAGGGACGAAAAGTTCAACACAGGAACCGGCTTTTCCACTGGGCATTGTGCCTGCGTGCAGTAGCCGTGGCCACCGATCATTGTCCCTGTCTTCGGGTCATCGAAATCTCGTTCCCGGCAGCCATCCACAGTACGAGTCCTCTGTGCCCGCCGCACAGGGTCACATGGAAGGCCACTTAAGGTGCAAAGGCAGACTTGTTGAACGAGAATGACGACTCCCATGTTGCATGCACCTCGCAACGCGTGACCCGCATGATCTCCAACAGCTGCGACTCTCGAACTCGAACACGATTCAATCGATTCATGCGCTTGCACACTGCACATCACTGCGAAGAGCCGCGCAGTCCAGACCATCGAGAAGAGGAGAATGGGAACTCCACAACCCGAGGGATTGAAGAAGAGATCCCTGTACGGCCTTGCAAAGGCAGTGCTGTCACAGCCATGTTGATGCTCATGTAGAATGTGATTAGAGGGAAAGAAGAAAAGAGAGGGCGAGAGGGGAAAAGCGTGAGAGAGCAAAATATCGAACGCAAGCGAGAACTACCTAGAGCGAGGGAGGCAACACGTGCCGACTTGCCTCTGACCCAAAAAGTATCTCAGCTGGTCATAGGAGGTAAAGAGTGCAGGCTGCAAGCACCGAAGCTGCGACCTCAGCGGCAACTGCCACAAACGTATAGCATCGTATAGCAGCGTAGCATTCAAGGAAAAGCTCTGCCCAGGCCGGTGACACGCTGAGCACGCTCGCAGAGGATGAACTTGGCACCAGCACGCAAGCCTGGCAAAAGCGCAAGACGTGTTTTTTTGGCACATTGCTGGGCCACGGGAGCGCTTCTGAGACTTCTGAGGCACCTTTTTGTTGTCGCCCACGTTTCGAAAAAGCACCTCTGAAGTTCCGTGAAGGGCTCCCCGATGCTGGCGCTGCCACTATTCGCCCTATTCGCCTCTGCAATTGCATCCATGAGTGCTTCTTGGCGAAGGTTCTCGTCAACCTCAACATGACATGTCTCTGATTCATGCTAGGCCCGCTAGGCAACTTGAAGACTCTGTTCGACTCTGTTCGACTCTGTTCGACTCTGTTCACCTCCAGCAGCGCTGCGACACTGGGAGCTCGTGAGTGCAACGAGCGAATGAGGAATGCCTCCAGCTGGGAGAGTTGGTGAAGTTGGTGGCAAGGCACAACTCAAGATCCCCCACCTGGATGACAGCAATGACACCGCAGGGTCCTGCACAAGATTCTGAGCAACTGAGTTCCCCTCTGATTCCGAAAGGCTTCGGCATCTCTTGGCATCACTTTTCTCTCGGTGCTCCTCCATTCACCTGCTGCAAGCCGTAAGGCTGATAGCCTGCCTTATCGCACAGTATTTAGGAATTGGGGGGCCTGGGCCCAGGACACTTCACTTAAGAGCGCTTCTCTGGGACTTACTCAGACTCTTTCTTAGGCGGCGGCAAAGAAGAAGCCCTGCTTCCAAGCTTCAGGAAGCTCGGGGGGCCCAACCTGAAAACTGCTCAAAAGATCAGCATGAGTCTACAACTCTGATTATGGACCCATCTAAACTCATCTTAAGCGGCGAGGCCACTTAACCTAAGCATCGGCGCGAGGTGCTGCTAGCTCTTTGGTCATGCTTTGTCTCAGCATCGTCGACGGCTTTGGAATCGCGTGCGCCGTTTGAATGCCCGCTCTTCGCTTCAGGCCCACAGGCAGCCTCTTACGACTAGCAAGGAAAACCACATCTTTTCAGATTGCCATTCCACTCTCCACACGCCCTTCCGCGCTTCCGCCCTTCCGCGGCCTGGCGGTGCTTTTGTTGCCTGTTTCCCCTCTTCCAAACCCGCAAAATTTCGACAGAACATGAACCAAAGCCACAAAGCCAGGAGACGTCTTATGAACGAACACCCGAGGCCCCAACCACAGACATCAGCGCTTCTGCATCGAGGCTGTTCAGCGGCTCCTTTACAGGACCGCTGTATTCGCTGTATTCGCTATATGTTTTCGCAGCAGCGCTCCCCCATCCGAGGGGGTGCGACTCCGACCGTCTCGCCCAGAGTGGCATCCCTGCCTCGGTGGCATGAAATACATGGAAATATTACGCAAAAAAATCATCCTGCAAATTCCTGTCGCACTTTGCTGTCGCACTTTGCTGTCGCACTTTGCTGTCGCATTTTGCTGTCGTCGCAGTTTGCCGCGAGGAAGCTGGGGAGACTGAGGAGACTGAGGACCTGGCTGGGACCGAAGAAGCGCCTGGGCTCATCCTCCATTCTGAGCTGCCCGCTTCCAACTCTAAAATAACCTCTGAAGACGAGCTGCTTCGCTGAGAGTTTCGTGTTCGGAAAGCTGCGCAGGACTGGCGTAATCTGCCCCGGATGCTATTCTCTTTTTCAAGCATCATTCGGTGCTCATCTTGGCTTGAGCCGACTCACATTGTTCATGCCTGTGACAACAGCCTCGTCCGACAGGGTGCATGTGTCCGAGAGAAGGGAAGCAGAGATAGTTGGGACTACTACCATTACCGTGATTGTGCACGTGCGTGTCCCCGAGTACTGTCGAAGCCCGTGAAATGACATCTTGGGCCGTAGATGCTAGGGCAGTGTCCGCACAGGTTTTGCTCATGGCTAGCATCATTCTCACCACCAGGTGAAGATGCCAGCCTGCGGCCACCATGCCTCAAAAGCAGCAGCGCATGACGATCAACCAATTAGAGGTCGGTGTCCACCAGCTTCGCTTGCTATTTTCAATCTCTACCCGAACAACATCAACAAGGACAAGGACAAGGTCCAGGGCAAGGACAAGGACAAGACCCTTACTGCGTACGGGCTATCAAACTCGCTGTCCTATGCCAGCCTCGGTGACAACATTTGTTGTAAGGTGTTGGGCCTGAAGACAGGGGGGTGGCTACTTTCTTACCCAGAGACAAGCTGCGCGCGCGCGGGCGCGGGGGGGGGGGGGGGCATGCGGCTTGCGCTCGCGCACACCGAGCGCATGCCCCCCCCAGCGCACGCCTTATTTCCCCCCGCACGCACACCCCAGTGGGTCACCCCAGCTCCAATTCTGAGCATCTGCACCGGAAGTGGGGTGATGCATATACTGAATCTATTGTAATGTGGTCTGCGGTCTGCGTGTGCTTCTCGAGGTTGCTGATTCCTGGTTCCTGTCGCCCTGGTTCCACGGAGGAATGTGCGGGCAAAGTGGAAAATGAAATATGATAAAAATGAAATAGCAATGCAACACCCTGTTTTCTTAGGCTTCGGCTCACTTCCGAGCTCTCTGCGAGTCCTTGAGCCCCACCTGGCTGGGAGAACCATATAACATCTATAACTGGGAGTGCTAACTGTAACTGAGTCAACGCAGGTGGGCGAAACATGGCGAGACCCTGATTGGTGTGGGGACTGTCAACTTACTGTTGTAAATCACAGTTTGTAACTCACAGTTCGTCACTCACAGGCCAGCTTGTCCAGAGGCATGAAGCAGCCAGAGAAGCCTCGGTGCAGAGACCCGGCGACAAGAGGTGACAGAGCGGCCTCCTTGCCTGAACTCGGGTCTGATCCATGCTTCCTCGCAGGAGCTCACAGAGACCCGCTTGTCTCCCCTCTATGCAAGCAGCTTTTGAACTTTTGTGGTGCATGTAAGTGAATGTAGGGAATCTAGGGCCCCAGATGGCCCCAGTCCACGCCTGCGCTGTCCAGTGGACCAGGCTGCGCTACAGGACTGCTCTCCTGCACAAGCTCCCAAGCTGCCCAAGCGTTGCATGATCACGTGTTGCATTGTGCGACAGATCGCAGATGAAAAAAGGACAAAAAAGGACAAAAAAGGACAAAAAGGATCCTCCGTGAAAGCTTGAAGCGAAGGTGGCTTGGGCCTGTGCTGAAGAGCCTCGCCCAAGGCCTCATGTGGCACCAGAACAGTCTCATGCTTTTCAATCTGTATACTGACATATACTCACTCTTTTTAAAGCTCGCTCTGAGCACGCTGCTCTTAATCTGGCAACTTCGGCACCGACGTTGTCTGCTGGAATCCTGGGGAACGCAGACATTTCCAGTGAGCGAATCATTGACCCCAATGTTGATTCTCCGCACCTCCTTCGCATGAGCCGTTCGAGCTCGCTCGGCTCACTGCCAACCTGAGCCGCAAAAGCGCCACGAAGACTCTGTGTCAGACTGGCAGAATTCTCACTGTACTTTGAAGGGACTGTGGGCACTGCGGTGACTCGGAAAGGCTTCGCCTTCGACAGCTGAACCACTGCTTCCAGGGTGGTCGTGGTGGTGGGACAATGCGACGGTGTCTCAGTCCTGCTAGGGACGCCGACGTATACAGTACAGACTTGAGCACGTTCATGTTACAAAATCGGCACAAAGACTTTAGCAAAGACTTTAGCACAACTGAGTTTTCTTTCACGAAACGAAAAGCCAAAAAAAGGGGCCTGGGTGCCGTGCTCACGGAAGCCAAGGGTGTCCAGGGTGACAAGGATGTCATGCCTTTCGTGCATTTCGTGCTTGCCTCCGGCTCAGCCTCCGGCTCCGCCTTCGGCTCGTGGGGCTTCTCTGCTCTTTGCAACCTCCTGAACTGGAGAAACAAGGTAACGGCCGACTCTGACAAAGAAGTGGAACAGCTCGTTGGTGGCGAAGTGCTGCCGGTTGTCGTGCTGTTGCCTTCCTTTGTGCGTGCTCTCACATGACGCCAACAGCTCTTGGCAACGACCTGGTCAAGGAGTGCACTCCATCTTGCATCGCGGGCGCGGCAACTTGTAGTCCTTGCCTGCTTCACATCTGTCTGGGGCGTCTGGGGCAAGTCGGGCTGGCGACAGGGCTGGCGACATCTGGCCAGGGTGATTTGAGGAATCAGTTTTTGCGGGTCAGGCCGACTGCCCAGGCAAATGCAAAGCTCCAGAAAATCAAGTGTGATCAAAACACTTGCCGGATCAATCCACGAAAGGCTCCCCAGCTGTCCCAGCTCCATGCTCGGATGTGTAAAGAGAGCGGTCGACACTGAAGGAGCTGATGCGTCATCAAACCGTGAGGGAGAAAACACGATCTGCTGCACAGCCTCGTCGCATGCTTCCTCCTCGCTGGCCCAAACCCCCCTCAATGGTACACCAAGTTCGATTGCACGCAGCAGCGCTGCTCGCAGCGTTGCAGCCTGTCTGCCGCTTCCAAGGGGTCTGACAACATGCACAACATGCAGCCCACTCAGCCCACCCAAGTGGTCTGCAACAGGAGGGCAGTAAGCAGGGCAGTAGCCATGCCAAGACAGCCACTTCAAGACTTTGGAGAGAGTGGACGGAGATGCTGCCACGTGATGAACCCGGGTTTTCTGGAGAACCGAGTCAACCTCAACCTGGACCTGCCCGGCATGGTTGTGCAACAGCATTACAAAGCTTGTGCGGGCAAGAAGGGACTGCTCTGCATCAGAGAATGTAAACGGCAGGCCGAGTTCAGAGGGGTATTCTCCATGAAACAGCGGCGACAGAATGCAGCCGATCTGGCATTGTAAGATGCGCTCAGCGGCATCACGATTCAAGCGCTGTGCGTCCTGGGATGCTGTCTCCGCCCCCTCCACCCAGTCAGCGTGCAACATGATGCCTAACTCAGCATCCTGCAAGACCTCCTGTGCCGCCGCGTGGGAACGAAGTGTTGCGTGCACGTTCCCGAAGAATGCCGCTGCCGGAGACTCCGAAATTCCTTCGGAAGTGTCAGCCGATCTCATGCCCCATCGACGGCGGCGTGCCTGACAGAATCACAACTGGACAGCCGGAATATCCGGGGCAGTACGGCTTCACTCCACTGACAGGCGCGAGTGCAACCACAACTATGTGTTTGGGCAAGGGCGTGACATGGCGCTAGGCTCAACGCTCTCCGCTTTTCCTTCAAACACACGCACGTACACCTTTCCTTTTCGCAGAACAAGGTAGTTCCAACAGGCTAAGGTCATCTTCGAATTATTTGTGTTTTAATTCTTCTGCCGTTTGTGCCGCTGGTCGCGTCTTGCTTGCTTCAATAAGGACAACCATTTCAGCCGTGACAAAAACCCTCGAAGCCTGAACCCAACTTGATCTTGCTAAGACATTGAAGAACCACAAACCAGCCACACTCCCTGACTGTTTTCATGTGGTTATTGCGTAGGCCATGGCACAGCAGCACTGGCTCCGGCAGTGGCGACAGAAGGTCCAGTGCTGAGGTGGTCTCCATGCAGGCACGGGCTGCACGGGCTCATCCGCCTCAAAACATCAAAAGAGATGTCGGAGGTCGGAGCAACTAAAAGAGATGGGGGGACGATGGGGGCTCTTGCCAACACACACAACACACAATAGAGTCGGCATGTGTTCGCAGCCCTCTCTTTCGGCTGAGAAGCGTAACCCACCTGCAGATATGTGAGGAAAGGAGTTGCAAGGTGTCCGGCGATACGGAAGGACCCGAAGGAGCCTCGGAGTGTGACAGCGACGACAGCATCATTGAGCACAAATTCCGAGAGATTGTATTTATACTACTTAAGAGCACAAAAGAAGGGGGCAGAGGAGAACCTGAAAACAAGCCTTAAGTTCAAAAAAAAGACCTTATAAGCCAAGCCAGCGCCTCCAGAGCTGCCACGGGATCCAAGCCATGTCTTCTCAGGCACTCGATGGCGCTCACCAGGCCGTCCAGTCCTCTCGCGCGAAACTCTCAAAACTCGCGCAAATAACCTAACGAAAACAGGGGAGAGCAGAAACGACAATCGAGAGAGAGAGAGAGGGGGGCTTGTGGAGTTGGCGACTCGGCCCTCGGCCCGAGCGACTCAGAGAGCAACTCAGAGAGCGACTCAGAGAGCGACTCAGAGAAGCGAGAAGCCTCTTAGAGGGCTCTGCTATAAGGACTAAAAATTGACTGTAAAAATGAAAAATGACTCACATGCAATGGCTGCTCTCTTTTCAGTTCTGTGACACTGCAGTTCAGGAGTTGTAGAGGACCGGATCAATGCTCACATGGAGCTAGATGTGGCCATAGATTAGCAGTCATTTGCAGAGGATTTTTGCTTGACTGAACAGTGAACAGCTTGTTTTCGGCGGCAGCGGAGCACTGCTCGCGACACCACATTTCAAAGCGCACAACTCTCATGGGGCTTCAGCCCAGGGAACTCTGATTTAGCTCAGGGGTGGATGCCCTAAACTACCTTTCTTTTGATTTTACAGGAAGGAATACAGTGTGCACGGATTGGAAGCCTGGAAGCCTGTAGTACTGGACAACATGTTGAAACATCACGCGGCATGCTGTGCGTGGTGTGGTGTCTATGGCCATGTGGTCATCATGTGGTGTCCGGATTCAAACTCTTCAACCTCAGCACTCCTTCGGGCAAAGAGTCCCAGCAGATGGCCAGCACATAGAACCTGACAAATCGCTCAAGTTCGCTTGGCCACCCTCTGCCAGTGTTCCCGGGTCTCTGGCCGATGCCCTGAGCTCTGGAGTTTGACCTCGTAGCCATGAGCTACAGGAGCATCAGGAACTTGAACAACAAGTGAATGAATGCCAAATTAAGAACAGCTTTGCCGACGGAGGATGGGGCCAGCTCATCTTTCCACTTCAGCCTTATAGCCATGATCCCGTGATCCCACAATGACAATGGTCGTGCTATCACAACAGGGAGAACCTGACAGCATAGCAGTCCTGGGTCTTTAATGCCGACTCGCCGCGGAGATTGCAACCGCAAGGACTGCAGGCCCTGGCGGCCCTGGCGGCCCTGGCATCCCGCGCACCAAGGGGCAGTGTCTATAGCCGTCGAACTTCCTGAACTTCTGAGCTTCCGCCTCCTCCACCACTCCCAGAAGCAGGTCGCCCCTGAGAAATGTGAGCCGTACTGTGCAGCACTCCGCTGGGCCATGGCACATAATGGCAATTCATGGAAGAATTCCCCGATAATTCCCCCCCCCCCCCAGAGAAAGCTGCGAGGCACGGGCTGCCTGGCCATGCATGGCGAGGCGGAGGAAAAGTTGACAGCCCCACCGACTTAAGACTGGCCTGCATGTTGGAAACTTGTGGCTCCTATGGTTCTATACCACAAAACAACACAGAGTCATAGAGTGAGAGAGAGTATGACAATGATTGCACCACTTCCTTGTACCAGTACCAGATATGCTGCAAGGCGGACCAAGATTTGGATGCAGTGGCTGAAGAAATCGCGCAAGATGAGGCAACCACAACAATGCATACCCTCTTTTCTGTCACGAGAACGGATTGTCGTCCCGTGCCTCAAACATTCACGTGAGAAAGAAAAAGAAAGAGAGAGCGAGAGAGAGAGAGAGAGAGCGAGAGTGCGTCACGCAGCCAATTCTGTTGCAGAAGTAGGGTTGTGAGAAGTGCTGTGGCCAACGCTGTCCAACGCTTCCACACAGGCTGCCGCGAGCCTCAGGCAGAAAATGGCAGAAAGGTCTGCTTGCGGTTGCTTCAGTTTTGCCCCCTGCAGAAGCGCAGTGCACACGCGCCTTGGGAAGGGGTAGAAGGTGACACCATGGAGCCATCGTTCAAAGGGCGGGCGTCCTGAGCCTGGCGCTTCGAAGATCTCCGCGCGCACAGCTCTGCGACTCTGCAAAAACTGACTTCCGGAACTTGGACACGTTTCCAAGATTACTGGCAGACTGGAGTGACCATATGGCATGGCGCATGGACCCCGGCAGTGCGGCGAGCTCCCGATCCACCCAGGCGCAGGTTCTCTGCCTTCACAGAGAGAGCAGGTGATCGACATTTCTCGTGTAGCTGAAAGCATGATGCCGTCGTTCGAAAGATGCGAAAACTGCGAAAGCCGGAAGAAAGGCTCTAAGCCGCACGGCCGCACCTCGGCACCTTCAAGCTGATGCCTGGCAAGTTCCCATCGTGGCATCGCCGGCCGCGCTCACAAGCAAGGAGGCCGCTTCAAAGCATTCAAAGCCGTGTCAGGGCCGACGCCAGCTGAGCGCTCTCGCGTCGGGAACGCAGACGGACCTTCTCGCTCTCTCCACCCTTTTTCTCTCTCTTTCTCTCTCTCTCTCTTTCTCTCTCTCTCTCTCTCTCTCTCTCTCTGTCTCTCTCTCTCCCACACATATACAAAATGTATGGTGCGCCCCCCATGGCTTCAGGTACTCGTCACCACAAAAACTTGACATCACAAAACCAAAAAGACCTAAAGCAACAAAACAAAAACAGCCAAACAAACCAAAACCAAACCAAGACCCAAAACAAAAAACTATCAGGACAATTCTCCAGAAACCAAACCAAAAAACACCACATAATTCTCCTGGGGCTCTGCCTATTCTTGTTTTGGGTGATGTTTTGTGTTCGTTTCCAGAGAATTATCTTGACAATTTTGCTTGTCTGTTTCTTTGACTTTTTTGGTTTTGGCTTCTTTGTTGGCTTTGGTTTGTTTGTGTGTTTGCTTTTTGGTTGCTTTGATTTTTCGGACTGGATGTTTTGGTTGTGGTTTCCAGAGAACCCTCCGGACAGCTTTGCTTTTGGCATTGGTCCCTTTGGCTTTGTTGGTTTTGTTGTTGTTTCGTCATTTTTTGAGTTTTGGTTCCCCCCCCCTCCTTTGCCTTGGCTTGCCGGACCTAACTTGGCCCTTGTTTACGTAAGTACCACAAGTTTTCGATCTTCAAAATAAGCCCCAAGTTAGGAATTTAAACGTTAAAGCATATCGAAATTCTTTAAGTTCCTTACATGCTGAAATAAGACCTAGTTTTTCAAGTTTGATGGGCTGAGATTTTGATAGGCACACATTCCTGACACTCCAAATACAAATATTGCTAAAATTAATATGAATACTCATATTTGTATCAATGTTTGTTTCCGCCCTCCTTTCGGAATTTACGGCATGTAAAATGATAAGACATGCAATTTTTCTCAAATTTCCCGGATAAGGATTAACAGTTTTCAATGGGCCTAAACTTCTTAGATTCCCCCCCCCAATTTAGGAACTTAACTTTCGAAATCGGTCTAAACTCTGTATATTCTTTAAATTCCTAATGAGCCCTAATCTTCCAGGTTTACTTGTAACTTTGAAAGCCCAACTTCTTTAAACAATTCCTGACTCAGGCTTATTTAGGAATCGAAGGAAAATAAAATTTTCAATTTCTCAATAAGACTGAATTCTTGACATCCCATCAATATGTTCGAATATATGTGGTCTCGGGCCCAGGGCCATACCCGGCCACCTGCCACCATAAGTATACATATATATATATATATGAGCCTGAGACCTTTCGGGTTCTTTGGCTTAGTTTTTACAAAGCAATTTTAAACAATGTATAAATGTGCTCTTTTCCATACAAGGGTTACTACACACATTAGCATTCGCCATGTTCACTAAAGGCTCTGCGCTGTCACTAAAAGCATTACAAATAATAACTTGAGCAAAACCGAGTTTTTCTTCACCAAGCGTGAGCAGCAGCCCAAGCACAGAGGCGTTCTTCAGAAAGATCTCAGTTACACGGTTGAAGAATCAAAGACTGATCGATCCCCTACTTGAATTATGAAGACTGATCGCTCCCCTACTTGAATTGTGTATGTTATAGTTTGATGTATTCTGTTGTTTTTGCTTGTTTTGCTGTAGGATTCTCGATATATTTTTAGCTTGTTTTTTCATTGCTTTTCATGGAATCTATTCAAAATCTGCATTTTTACTCTTGATGCTTTTTGTTCTGGATACTTGTTTGAGTATGTGACTTTCTAACATCTTTTTGATTTTTTTGTGGATGTTTGTTTATTCGCCACGTTGCTGTTCCAGAAGTGTACTGACTGAGTAGCAAAACTACCGTTTAGAGCCGAACCCGCTCAACTTACCCAGAGTTTCAAGCTGAATCTCTTGTACTTAAGCTGGTTTAGGGCTGTTTTGAATACAAAGCTAACAGTTTCGAGCCCAACCGCTGCATACTACCTAGGGTTTCGAGCTGACCTTTTTCAAATTCAGCTGCTCTAGACCAGTTTTACGTACAGGAATTTAGTTGTAGATGATCATGGAAGTCCTCCGTCAAGATGATACCTTATGCTATGGTGTAAACTGAGAACGCTTCACGTTGCATGATCTCTTGTTTTTTCTCTGGTTGTTCACATTGTTTTGCGTGTATGTGTGTGTGTGCTGCCGTTTAGTTTAAACTGATCAGTTTCGGCTTTAAACTCCGGTAAGTTGAAAAGATTTGGAACTTAATCGTTCTGCTTTAAACTGTAGTAAATATTCAATTCTAGGCATCTCAAGTTGAAGAAGCTCGGTTTGAAACTCTAGGTAAGGTAAGTGTGTTCGACTCTAAACTACGAGCTTTGTGTCCAAAACAGCCTAACGCATTTTAAATTGAAGAGGTTCCGCTTAAAACTCTGAGTAGCTTGATCAACTTGTCATTTCAAACAGATGCTAAACCTTTTTGAAAACCTATTTAAAGTATGTATTTCATACTTAGATGCACTTTTTGGGGTTTGCTTCTTTTTGTGTAGAATTTTCTAACAATTTTAGCATGCTTTGTAGATTTGCGTTAATGTTTAAAATTTGTGTAAAGGCCGCATTTAAAAGCAATTGAACAAATCACACCAAATGTTGTCCGCCTTCTTGTTGCTCACATGTCCGACAAAACCCAGAGGACAAAATCTGGTGTGATTCGCGCGGCCTCCTGGCGCAGGCAAAGAACCGAGGCGCGCGAATCACACCAAGTTTTGTCCGCCTTCTTGTTGCTCACATGTCCGACAAAACCCAGAGGACAAAATCTGGTGTGATTCGCGCGCCCTCCTTGCGCAAGCAAAAAACGGAGGCGCGCGAATCACACCAAATTTTGTCCTCCTTCTTGTTGCTCGCTTTACATTGAAAACCAAGAAAAAACTAATGAAAATCATGTAAATGGTGGATCCACATTATTTCCATTATATTTATATCAGTTTTCGATGTAAATAATGTCTTACAGACATAAGCATGACACATTTCCGCCTGGAAATGTGTCATCTTTTCCGTCTTACAAACATAAGCATGACACATTTCAGGCCGGAAATGTGTCGTCTTTTCCGTCTTACAGACATGAACATGACACATTTCCCGGAAATGTGTCATCTTTTCCGTCTTACAGAAATAGGCATGACACATTTCCGGCCGGAAATGTGTCATCTTTTCCGTCTTACAGACATGAGCATGACACATTTCCGCCCGGAAATGTGTCATCTACAAAAAAAGGCATGACACATTTCCGGCCCGGGTCTGGAAGCCCCCCATTTACTTTATTTCGCCTCGGCTTCCTGCCGAGAAACGTCTGGAACAAGCAGACCCGTCCTTCCCCCTACCCAACCCTTCCCCCCATGCAAAATTTTCTGACGCCACCCCCGCCCCCCCGCCCTGTGGGACCCCCCCCCAATCGCTTGGAGGAGCTGCAAACCGATGCCGTGGAGGGTCCCGCCTGGCTCCTACACAGGGAGTGCCTCCAGCCCCCCCACTCCCGCCCCACCCCCACCCCCCCCCACCCCACCCCCACCCCCCCCCACCCCCCCCCACCCCCCCCACCCCCCCGCAAGCGTTTACAATACATTATTTATATCGGTTTTCGATGTAAATAATGTAAATAATGTAAATAATGTAAATGGGGACGGGTCCCAGACCCGGACCCCCCCCCAAAAAAAAATCCGATATAAATAAAATAAATAATGTAAATAAGTAAATCATGTAAATGGTTGATTTACAGTATTTACATCGAAAACTGATATAAATAATGTAAATAATCCAAATGGCTTATTTACATTATTTACATCGAAGACTGATATAAAATGATGTAATTAATGTAAATGGCGCATTTACATTATTTACATCGAAAACTGATGTAAATAATGTAAATAATGTAAGTGAAGGATTTGCATTATTTACATTATTTATATTATTTATATCGGTTTTGGAGGAGGGTCCGGGTCTGGGACCCCCCCCCCTCCTTGTACAATATTTACATTATTTATATCGGTTTTCGATGTAAATACTGTAAATAATGTAAATGGGGACGGGTCCCAGACCCGGACCCCCCCCCCCCTCCAAAACCGATATAAATAATGTAAATAATGTAAATAATGTAAATAATGTAAATAATGTAAATAATGTAAATAATGTAATTAATGCAAATAATGTAAATAATGTAAATAATGTAAATAATGTAAATAATGTAAAAGGTTGATTTATATTATTTACATCGAAAACTGATATAAATAATGTGAATAATGTAAATGGTTGATTTACATTATTTACATCGAAAACTGGTATAACTAATGAAAATAATATAAATGGCCCATTTACATTATTTGCATCGAAAACTGATGTAACTAATGTAAATAATGTAAATGAAGGATTTACATTATTTACATTATTTGTATTATTTATATCGGTTTTGGAGGGGGGGTCCGGGTCTCGGACTCCCCCCCCCCCCCCCCAATTACATTATTTACATTCTCTATATCGGTTTTCGATGTAAATAATGTAAATAATGTAAAAGGTTGATTTACATTATTTACATCGAAAACTGATACAAATGATGTAAATAATGTAAATGGTTCATTTACATTTTTTACATCGAGAACTGATATAAATAATGTAAAATAATGTAAATGGTTGATTTACATTATTTACATCGAAAACTGATATAAATAATGCAAATAATGTAAATAATGTGAGAAATAAATAAAATAATGTGTATAATGCAAAACAACAAAGGAACACAGTACATAAAGGTCCCTCTCTCTCTCACATATATATATATGTACATACATACATACATACATACATACATACATACATACATACATACATACATACACACACCAACAAAAAAAGGAGCCCGCGAGCCTCCGCATAAGTTGAATGTTTGATAGCACTAATTTTGCACCCTGTTGCGCCTCGTCGCTTTCAGCCAGCAGCTCGGCCAGTTCAACTTTGGCAGCCTGGGAAGAAGCTTAAGAAGCCCCAAGCACAGTACGAGTAGAGAACATTGTAAAATCACAATAAGGGCATGGCTTTCAAAGCTTCGATCTCTGGACCATCACGTGCCCAGGACTCAGGAATGAGAGCCACTTTCACACTTCGATCAGTGCTGTGCCGTCCTCAGATTGCCTGGAGTCTTTCAAACACAAGGCTCGGGCTGCTGCACCAGGCGCAAGAAACCTCATGCACATTCGGAAAAAGAATTCCTCTGTTCTACTCTAGGGTCCAGCTCAGTTGATCAATCTGCAGCGGAAAGCTTCGGTTGTAACTCCCGGCCTGGTGCTAATCTGCGAAGCGGCACCGGGCGCCAGTGCCTCGGCCTCAACTTGAAGCGCCTGCTTTCACACAGGGCGGAGACCGTGTGGGACTCTCCCAAGACTTCATGTGGTCTCCCGTAGTCTTCCCTTCCTCGCCTGGGCTGCAGCTGCTTTGAGCTGCCTCAACTCAGACTCCGCTTCCGCACGCAGCC